TTTGTTTCGAGGCTCACATTAAAACTAGTTTATGGTATATTACATTTTGGTATTTTTATATGTGGATCATTATCAATTTCTTCGTTTTGTCTTGTGATTTTGTACATAAAGATAGAAATTTATATTTTCGTAGATTTCAATGGAATTGAAAAAATGTGAGAGCTTTAATGAAAGAATTAATATTTTCGCTGAACAGTTCTCAGTTATATATACATATCTGTCACCTGCAAATTTAAAGACGCTTAGTACAACGATTTACAAACATTTATCCGCTCTTCGAGAATATGATTCTTCTACTTTGCCTCCTATTAAGTCTCCCATAACATTGCTAAAATGTATATCTTCGTTTAATATGCCGATCGGAGAGAATTATGGATTGAACAAGGTATTCTAAATAATTTATTATAGTTTGTACTGAATAAATCAAATTTAACGAAAGTTTTTCTTAATGATTTATATAATTATTTAAGGTAACTCAACGTGTAGTGAAAGTACATTGTATTGAAGGTAATCATGTGACAATCATGAAAAATGAAAAAGTGGCGGCTGCAATTAATGGCGAATTACCATTTACAATTTGATTTAATTTTTAAGTCATTTTAGTCAATATTTGATAAACAATTATCAATATTTGATAAACAGATTGCAATTAGCGCAAAAAATGTTACAAATATCTATAATATTATCAGCTCAAATTATAATATAATATAAATTTATTTATATTATAATTTGAGGTGATAATATTGGGTACGAGAAAGTAATTGCTTTTTTTTAGCTCAAAGTTGTATATACAATATCTTCGTCAATAATGAATGAAATTTAAATTTAAAAAAAGGGTTTTAAGTAAAGCTTGAAATCTATACTTTTAAAAGCTTATCACATTTTTTAAGTTTATATGAGTTTGGTAATTTTTACATACCAAAAACTACGAGCTGAAAAAGACGAAAAATTTTCTTCTCACTTTGTGGATTTGTAACGTATCCAAAACGAATTTGAGAAAATTTTCGATTACCTATCGTGAAAGGTAATCCTCTAACAGGTTTTAGATGGCCCACTCAATCTTCCTATCTCTTTCATATATAGTAGAAAGAAGACACCATTTTTTAAACTTTTTTGTTAATAATATTTTAACGAACAGTGAGCAAAACCTAAAACCCGCTAGAGGTCACTCAGAGTCATGCCAACAAGTGTCAAGATCAAAGTCATCGGCGCGGAATCTCTTAAAGTGCATAATTATCGAAAAATATATATAACGTAATTTTGTTAATAATTTTCAGATTCAGTTATTCTTTTAAAAATATGTGTTTAATACATAATTGTTATAGATATAACTATATTTGTCGAATACTTGATAAGAGGCTTTAACGATAAAATAATACACAAATCGCAATAATATCAGATTTTACTTTGAGATTTTACGTCGAAATTAGTATATAACAGCGATTGAGTAGAAAAGGTTTTAATATTTAATATATAATTACATCTCATTATAACTTATCTCGATTTATCACAATTATACTTTAGTTATTGTTGAATTAAAAATTTATTTCAAGACATCAACAGAACTGTGCTTAACCAAAAATATATTTCAAAAAAACAATGTATGTTACTTTTAAAATGATTATTAATCATAAAAAGAAAAGATTCTAAATCTTACTCTACTTCCAAACATTACAATTACTTTTTATTTTTTCTGTAACTTACTCTTTAATTTTTGTAAATTTCTAGCAATTTGAATGCAATTTCGATTTCTTAGAATGACTTAAAAGATAGCAGCATTAAAAATCGTTATTCTCTTGCATAAACTCCATACATAATAAAAAATAGTAATAGATATAATAATAATTACATAAGTGAGCCTCATTTAATAAGTATATTGTTTACAAAAAATATTTATGTTTATTTTAAAAAATTGACTTATTTCTTATTTTCTAAAGATAGAAAATTGAATAATATTATAATGAATTATAATAAATTGTGAAATATTGTGTACTAGTAAATTTTGCAGCGGATTGTTATAAAAATGGCTTAAACACACAAGTTTTTGTTATGTTAAATAAACATGTTTGTTACCAATTCCAATTCTTTAATCACTTTTTAACTACTTTCTAAGATACATCTTTTAAACATAAAAAGTAAGCCTTATTTAGTGCTGAACCTTATTCGGCTCAAGTACCTTAATTCCATGTAAAAAAGCTAAAATTATTATATTTTTTTGCGTTTCCATTTGGAAAAAAATATCGTGACCAAAATGTGTTACTCTCGAACCGTTACACTTTAGTAAACACTTTTTAAAATTTTTTATACTTTTTGATATATTACAATGTGAAAGTTAAAATGATGCACACTGTATACCTATATACATACATACATGCACACTACATATGTACATATACATACGTACATGCGCGTATATGTGTGTAATTTAAAAAAGAAGATTACATTATAATCCATATATATTGCTTGCGATCCTCAGCTTCTGTTATCCGTTGACACACTAAACTAGATCTGTTTTGTCTTCTAGAGTCTGCATTATTTTCGAAGAGATCAGAATAGAACACATGTAAACGATCATTGACTTGATGAAATCTGAAGCTTACGTATCTGAATTGAATGAAAGAGATTTAATTGTTTTTCATCAAAATTACAATATACACATTATATATGTATACTATCATTATGTTAATAAATAATGAAAGACAAAACTAAAACATTGTTATTTTTTATGTTTTATTACATTTTATATCTACTATATATGTGTATAATGGAATAAACTTTTATCATATTTCTATTTAGGTTATCTTATATACATTCTTTATAATTTCAATACTGACATATAATATAAAATTATAATACTTAAATAGTTTAAGAAATCTTTAAATAAATTTACACAGATTGTAAACATTTTGACACACGCTATCAACAAGAAATAGCTTACAAAATAAATGTTCGTAATATAATACTAACCCAAGAATAGTTCCCCAAATTAGAGCACTTGATATATGTACAAATTCCGTACTATCAAACAAACAAATATGTACTATAATAAGGAAATTCATATTTATATCATTATCAATAAATATCATGCAAGCAATTTGAAGAAATCTGTGTACAATATGTCCAAATATTATTCGAATTATCCATTTACGCAGGCATTGATATTTCTTTGGCGAACCGACTGCTTCCATTGTATCGTCCACTAAAGAGAATTCATTTAAGCACATTTTCATTTCCTTTAAAAAATCATATTGATTGAGTATGCGACATAAAAGGATATTATAATACAATCCGATTATTATTCTAATTATCTATTTACGCATTGGTATTTTTTTGGCAAACCGACTGCTTTAATTGTGTCATCCAATGAGGAAAGTTTATGCAAACACATTTTCAATTCCTTTAAAAAATCATATTCATTTCTTATGCGACAAAAGGAAATTATATTTAAATAAAAATTGTTATTGCAATATGTGTATAGAAAATGTGATAGATGAAAAAGTTATAAGATTAGTATTCGTAATATAAGATTTAAGAATGTTACGTTTAAAGTTAATTTTGGAGAGTAATATAAACACAAATATTAATTTTATTAAACACAGTTTTTGATTACATTAAATAATGATATAAACATTAAAATTAAATTTTAAATACAAACTTTTCATAAAGAATTCCGCACAAATCTTCTTATGAAAAACGGCGAAATTACTTCAAATTTTAATATTTAGTTTGTAGCTCTTGTCAATCTGATTAAAATTCTTTATGAGCACAAATCCTCAAATGTCTTACTTTTTGATCTAGGACCTACAGAAAGTTTTTATATTTTATATGAATAGATACAAAAAATCGAAATAAATCTTTTTTACTGCACTTGTATTTGTATCGACGTTTATGATTTTAATTTTGCGCTTATTTTCAGAATTACGCAGAATGAACGATGTGACGAGCATTTTATTCCTTTGAGATACGTGATTTATATACGTATAAATTCCCTTGTTTCTCACAGAATAAGGTGCCTTATTTTTCACTCTTTGCCTCTTTGAAAATTCTAACACGCTTCTTGGAATAAGAAAATAAAATAAAACTTTTTTGCAGCATGTTTTATATTATAATAGCATTTTACAAAATATTACAAAATATAATACTATTTTCGTGATTATGTCCAGCAGATTTTTCTATGAT